ATTCAAACCTTTACTTTGAAATATCCCACGTATATAATGATATACGAGTACTTGTATTGTTGTAAATTCGATAATTGTATAAACAGTTTAAGAAGGAAAATATTAGTAAATTCACCCTCATAAAATGAAATTGAAATATCTAAAAGTATTTTTGTCTGCGGTCAAAGGGCGAATGACATTAAAACATAAAACAATTTAAACAAATATTTTAAGGAAACATTTTACACAAATTTCGCTCAACTTAAAACTGCGTTGAAAAGGAGGAAAGAAGAAAAAAACTTAACAGTAAACTACTAAAAATCTTTTTAAAAATTCGAAACTATGTATTATAAGATTGATATAAAGATGTTCTTGTTTAAATTATATTACCTTAGACATATTGAGTCATACCAGAATACCCATAAAAGGTAAAAAGAAAATGGTGATAAAGAAAGATTGAAGAAAAAATTGTTTTTACTTGCTCTCATTTACCAAAATGTATTATTAAATTAATGTAAATATATCTAGAGGATTGAGCTAACAAGCTTTGTTCCTAAAATTGTAATTAAAAATTTTAAAATTTCGGGGGGCATCATGAAATATTTGTCACCGTTTTTCTCGTTTATCTCGATTGTGGCCACCCTGTTAACATTTATTGAAATTCAACTTTGATATTTGATCAACTTAAAAATTAATAAAGTGAATGCTTACAAAAAACAATTCAGCTTTTTCTCTTAAATAAATTTAAAAATAGAATTATTGGCTTATATTTCTTGTTTAATCCCTTGTCTGCGACTTCCGAAATCAGCTCGGGCAATGCAAATGTACCAATTTTGGAATGCCCGACCTGACCTCGGGTAAGACAAAAATCTGTACTTCAATTTCGTGAAGCCAGAACTCAGTTCGTCCAACGGACAATATGTAATTTACCATTTTCCCAATAGATGGTTAGTTAAAAACAGCTAATAGATGGTTAATTAAATTTTCCAGCGAAAAGCTCGACAGTTTCGCGCCATTTGTCGGACTTTCGAAATTTGTCAAAAATTTAAAGGAATCTGAGGAACATTCAATTCATTACAGTTAATGTAAATAATAATAATAATTAGTTTATTACATTTATCTTGAAAATTAAGTCATTTGATTTATTTTGCTTATAATTTGAGCAAAAATTTACTGTAATCCATTAATATTTCCCATGTTTGTGAAAATATTGAATATAACAGTTACTGCGAGTTTGTTTGTTTCTTTTTTTAATTAATCTATTTGTAAAACTTTGATGATAATTAAGAACAAAATTAAAGAGAAAAAAATTCCATTTTTGACAAGTTTTTTTTTTCAAATATATTCCACAGGCAAGGGATTAAAACAAATTATCCCTTTTTCTTCCACATCTTAATGTTCTCATTTTTTTAAAAAATTACTTTGTATTTTTGGATTTATTAAAAAAATTGTTTCCTCCGTCTTAATCCACTTGATAGATGTTTAGTTCTTAGTTGTAGTTGTAGTTTATTTACGTCGCACTAGAGCTGAACAATGGGCTATTGGTGACTGTCTGGGAAACATCCCAAGGGATGATCCGAAGACATGCCATCACAATTTTGATCCTCTGCAGAGAGAATGGCACCCCTTCTTCGGTAGCCCGACGACCTGCACGCGAAGTCGAGCACTTAATGTAGAACATTTTAACGAGGACCAATATCGCACACCCTCGGTCCCTATGCAGACTGATCCAAGTGGTCACCCACCCGCACACTGACCGCAGCCAGTGATGCTTGACTTCGGTGATCTGCTGGGAACCGTGTCTTAACGATCAGTCCACTGCAGGACGTATAGTTCTTAGAATTTTCATTATTTTCTTCAGTTTAGTTTTGTGTCTGATAATTCAAATTAATCATAAAAGTCTAAAATTAATTAATAATAAAAATTTTTTTTCGATATTTCGACTGGCTGAAAGGGAAATAAACTTTATTCGGAACATTTAGAAACCAATTGCTACATATATTGTCATCAGGCACAGAGCTACAGTTAAATTTTGATCAATCTAACAATTCGAAAAAATTTTGATTTTGTCTAAAATTTGATATACACTATCTGACCAAATCTATCCGGACACCCGGTTGTCATGGTGGTGGAAGCATAATGGTGTTGGAGTGTTTCTCGTGGTTTGGCCTGTGTCCGTTAGTTCCTGAGGTTGGAAACGTGAACTCTGAGATATATGTGGACATTCTGGACAATGCTGCACTCCCAACTCTATGGTGATATTTAGGAGAAGGCCAATGTCTCTTCCAGCAAGATAACAGCTCCATCGATTCTTGCATAGACGTGCTTTGACGAAATGAGTGTTCAAAAACTGGACTGACCTTCGCAGAGCCCTGATCTAAATCCCATAGAACACCTTTGGGACGAATTAGAGCGCAGATTACGTATCCAGCCAAATGGACCATCCTCACTCCTAGCACTCACTTCAGCTGTGATGGAAGCCTGGAAGTTGATTCCTATAGCCACCTATCAAACACAGGTGGAAAGTCTTCCCAGACACGTGCAGGCTGTCATCGATGCAAAAGAGAGGTGTACATCATATTAATATAAGCCTCAGGACACTCTAAGTCCATACAACTGGGTGTCCGGTAACTTTTGGCCAGATAGTGTATCATAAACTTCCTTTGGAAATAATATCATAATTGTACTGCTTATAGCAATTAGGAAACAATTGCCGCTTGTATTCTGCCGTGCAATTGAAAAACACTCTTAAGTGCTGAAACGTATCAAGCTATATTATAAATAACAGTTCTGTTTCTTGTAAAAAAAAAATTTCACAAACAACACAAACAGTAACGAAAATTAAGTACCCGTAACGGGATAGTTATAATCTTGTTAAACAAACTAGAAAAACTCGTAACGGATTATAAGAAAACTCAAATTCCGAAACAAAACTAATCCCTAAAAACCCAACAACGCTGTTGTTCTAAAAAGGTCTTCTCATTTTATCGTCTGCTTTTATTTTATTGTTTATCTCTTTATGTGTTTATTTTATTTTATTCGTGCTTTAGCAAGCCAATTATTGTTTTAATATTTTCAGACTTTATAGTGCACACAAAAGACTTTACTTACAATTTTTTTCTTCAAATGCATGACAGTTTTGTCACCCAGTACAGAGACTAAATAAAATTTGAATGCCCTACTAATTCGAAACGTGCTCGGAATTTTAAATCATGAAAAATGACGCTTTAACAATAACATTGCGAAAAAATTCTACTTAAAGTGATCTACAAATGATTGTTTTATCAGGTATGGAGCTTTCACTGATAATGCGTATATTTGTTGGAATGTAGTCATTAGGTTGCGTAAAAACTAATTAAAAATATTTAGGTAGTAATAATATTGTGCATTTATTTCGAAAAAAGTTGTATGTAGACTATGAGCAACAATATGAGTTTATTACTAACATTATTTATACTAATAATGTTAGTAATGACATAACATTATTATACCAATAATGTTAGTAATGACATAACATTATTATACCAACATTTAAAAACATTAATAGTTATATTATTATATTGTTGCGAGTTAATTAATATGTGTATAATTTTGTAAAGATTTTTTTATGAGGCTAAATGTCTCAGACGGATCCTAAATAAATAGTTAAATTAGAAAAATTGCTAGGAACTCTCATACATCTAACGTAATTGAAAAAGAAAATAACGCCTAATGTATTTCTTAGGAATAAATCAGTTTGGCGACATTTCTGCTGACTTGGCGATTTGTGACCATTTTGGCAACAAAATGGCATTTCGTAGGGAAGTTTCAAAGTGATGGGATTAATATTTACGGAGTTATACGAGATCCGCTTTGGATTCTAGACTCAAACATATCGAAAGCTCTGGGGTTCCGTTGCTAAGCCTATATAAATAAGAGTGTGCCTCACTGATGAGAGTAGTTGAGAGGATTAGTCTGCCTTTGATTGCAATAGTCTTGGCGAACAAAGCAATAGTATTCTGGATGGCAAGTCTCTAGTGAGTTCATTGTACCATCAGAGCCGATATTTTGTTCTGTACTACACTGCTATTTGAGCCGTAATTGAGTGTTAGAAATAGCTGTGTTTTCTGGAAGATTTGGTTTGTAAATTTTTAGAGTCTTAAAGACTGTTTTATTCATCTCCATTAAAAACAGACCCTTTTGCTCGGTACAATGTTATTTATTAGTTTAGGAATTTTCGTATTATATATGAAATATAGCAAAGCAATTGCGAATTTTGTTGTGACACAAAGCAACCTCGCATGTATGTACTCAGTCCGTGCAAACCCTTCGCAACCTGGATGTGCCCACAAAATATGACTTATCCACTGAAATTTGACCTTCTTTCTGATGTATTTCTATGTTTTAGAGGCTTTTTGCCATCGTTGTCACTGTAAAATTTTTAACATTTTACTTCTATGTACTTGCTGCCAAGTTAAAAATTGTTGTTCCATTGTATTCGGCGTATGGTCCTATTGGCCTAGGCCACTGTAAAATTTCAATTACCCACTGAAAATAATATAATTTTTTTCCCTTTCACACACGATTTATTGCCTATGGTTATCAACCTGTGTTCTAAAAGACATACACTCATATTTTTTAAGCAAAATTAATTGGAACTGGAATGTAGACCATTATACGACTTACGGGTTATATGATTTAAGGGGTTTACCACTATATGATTTAAGGGTTAGCGTAAAATCATTATCTATTCTTAATCTTAATTTAAAAAAATCTTAATTAATCGTAAAATTTTGATCTTAACACTCATCACATACTCAGATTTTTAAATAAAATTAAATGGAACTGGAGCGAAGGCCATTGGCAACTATATGCATTTAAGGATGAACGTAAAATATTTATCTATTCCTAATCTCAATTTTTAAAAAAACCTTAATCAATCGTAAAATATTAATCTTAATCGTGAAATCTTTATTTTCCCTTAAGTTCAACTTAAATTCAGTTATATTAGACTGTGTGAAATGATCATCAATAAAAATCTATAACTTTGAAATTTTCTTTATTCTAGCACAGCAAAATAAGTTTTAACATAAAAAATAACATAAATTCTAAAATAACATGCTAACACAACATAACATAAAAAAAAGTGACATAAGTTCTAACATAGCATAATGACATAGAATGACATACAAATGAATTCGAAAATGAAGAACATGACAATCGTTATGACATGTTAGAACATGACAATTAAGTCATTGCGATATCTCAAGTTTTTAAGAACGACTGGCATACAGGAAGTATGCCAGTCGATCATGAAGACTCATGAAGACAAAATCAGAAAAATGTTGGTCCTAGTGGGCCTGGAAGTTTTTTTAATAACATTAACTGAATTGAATTGAATTTCAGAAATAACCTTTGTTGAGCATCAAACAGTACTTTTTGAGGAATGAGCCGATTTCGTTTTTACAAAACTCCTTTGCAGAATAGTTAATATTATCACCATGAAATTCAGCAGGCAAAATTTCTTTCGGTATGTGTTTATGTAGCTCTTTCAAATCACTTCCATGAAAGTGGATCTAAATGTAAGAAAATATATACATTATTTAGATGACCAAATACATTGTAACGAATTTTGTTTTTTTAAAAAAAAAAAGACACTCGTTCCGTTTTGCCGACTTCTGTAATTGCTTCTCATTCATTGTTTTTCTTCTTTTTTCTTCTTAAATCTCTATATTTTACATAAAAACGCTGAATATTTTGTTTACAAAATATACAATTATTGAAGCTTTATTTAAGAACAATTTGTTGCATTAATCGCAACGAAATAGATGATTACCTAGATTTGATAAAGTTAACGATTTTTATCACCCTAATTTTTAAGTATTTTTCAGTTTAAAAAATTTCAATATAAATGTTCTGATTTATATCTGGCAACATGTAATATTTCATACTCTCTCTTTGTTTTCTTTGACATCTACTTCAGCGCAAACTAATATGATAAAGAAAGATATTTCCTGCAGCAATAAATAAATAGTGGAATATTTAAAACAGAACATTTTTTAACATTCCACGATAAAGCAGTTAAATATGCATTAACTTTCGAACAAATTAGAATTTCGAAAGAAAATTTACGTTAAATTCAAAAATAAAAATAACTCTTTCAGTACGGGCTACAGATCGACCGTAGATGTTTTTTTCCTGCAAGTTTAACTGTATATAACAAATAGTCGACTTCTTGAACTAACAGTCGAATCTTAATATATTTTTTGACGAGCTCCTTGAGTTTCTTTCTTAATACCTAGGTAATTTCAAGTCTTTTAAATCATAAAAATTTTCAGAAAAGATACTTTATTTCAATCTTATAAGGGTTGAATTTAGCCCTTTTTAATTTTTTTGAAATGGTTCAAAAAGTGAAGTTTATCATGCATTTTAACTTTTGTAAACTAATCAACATATGATATGTTTCTTTTTATGCACAATTTAACGTAGTAAAACAAGCCCACAAAAAATGACAAAATTTATTTCCTTTATAACAATCTCTGTTATAGAAGTCGTAAATTATTTTAAAGAAAAAAACATGAAATCTTCCAGAGTCATAATTTGACATTTTCCAAAACAGACACTTGTATTACGGGTGGATGGGGCAAGTGTAGACAAATGGAATATTTCTGTTATTTATCCCTCAAAAATTTTCAGCAAATTTTTGCAGATTGACAAAACTTTTTTACATGTTAATGAGTAGCTACATAACAAAACATTATAACAATTTTTAAAAAAAAAAACAAAATTATTATGGTAAAAAGTAAATTCTTAACTTTTTCAATGATAAAAACTTTCTACTACTTTTATTCATTGCATTTAATTGTGAGAGACATTATGTTATAAATGAATATGCATATGAGATATTTTAATTGTCGTTTTCGATTTGCCTTTCTGTAATTCGTTTTTAATAATTAATTCTGTAATGGGTTTTTATGGTGAAAAGTAACTTCGTGTTTTTTTTTTCCATGATAAAAACTTTCCACTATTTTTATTCATTGCTTTTAACTGTGGGAGACATTATGTTATGAATGGATATGCTTATGAGATATTTTAACAGTCGTTTTCGATTTGCCTTTTTGCAATTCGATTTTAATAATTAATTCTGTAATGGGTTTTTATGGTGAAAAGTAACTTCGTATTTTTTTTTCAATAATAAAAATTTCTGCTATTTTTATTTATTGCTTTTAACTGTGGGAGACATTATGTTATGAATGAATATGCTTGTGAGATATTTTAATAGTTTTCAGAATCATTGTTATATCAGATTTGATATTAATTTATTAGTTAATATTATTATAATTATTCGATATTTTCATATCTGCTGAGGATAAATTTGAGGAACCATCAGTGTTCGGAGTACCGGTTAAATGTATACTGGGCAGTGACGCTTGACCTTAACAAAACATTGATGTAGGGCATACCGGGCAAATGTATACCGGACAGTGCCACTTAACTAGACCTAGTATACATTTCGGACATTCACCAAAGCGACTAATTGATTGTCAACATTCATCGATCGAAGTCAACAACTACCAATTTCGGTCATTCACAGTAACAAATACAGTAAAAATTGATGTCTGTCGAATATATTTATTCTTATTACACTTATGTTGTTTGAGAAGCATGTACAATAAATTAGATACAATCATTTAATAAGTATAATTGAAAATGTTTCTGAAATTTCAAAGGTAAAGATTTAAAAATACTTAGGGGAGAGTCGGGTAGCCCCGCCCAAAGTCAATTTCATATGTATAGAATATTTTGTCAATGTATTAGTCAATGGGCTGTATTAGTCAGTATTTTGTATTAGTCAATGGGCTATCGGACATTAATTGTTATATTACAAAAAGGCTATTTTCGAAGTTTCAAGTATTTATGCAGCTGTTAACATGGTAAACAATAGTTTTGAAAATATGTTGAATACAGTAGTCATGAAATTAAGAAAAATTGTTTGAATGTTTCGATTAAACTTCATTTTAATACTAAAAAAAAATTTTTTCTATACATACAGCATTAAATTATGTAATCTTAAGTTTAATTTGCACGAAGAAAGAAGTTTATATGTGAAAAATTGTTCGAGTAATTACAAATTTACGAAAAAATTGGATTTCGGGTAGCCCCGCTCATATGAAAGTCGGGTATCACCGCCCAATTTTATTTCGTCGATAAATGTACGGTTGCAAAGATTATTGTTTTATTGCTTCAAATTTGAATGTTATATGCATTTTTAACAAAAACTATTGTTGTTATTAAATTGTACAATTCACTAAAAGTATATAAATATGTCATAAATAAAATAATTTTGTGATTAAAATGATAAATGAGGTTTATCTATTGTCAATACATTGATCACTCTCATTTACACCTGAAAAAACAGTCAAAAAACATAATTTTTGTAACTGGGCACATTTTGAAAAGAGCTGAAAAACATATTTTTTTAAATTTCTATTTTTTAAGTTAAACTATTCTTTTTTTTTTGTTTATTCCTTCTGCATTATTTAATTAGATGGTAAAACAATAGAAACATTCAAAAATATTGATTATTACTCAATATTATACAGAAATATAAGTAATACTTCTTAAGTGGGCGGGGCTACCCGACTCTCCCCTGATTTTTTTCTTATATTTTCACAAAATTTCAAACTTTTTAAACTAATTTAATAAAGACATAAAATCTTACCCTATTCCTAATTTTATCAGTCATAAAGATTTTCAACATGTTGAAAATATATCCAAAAATCGATGATTCATTGACTATGTGGATGCTTTTGAATCGAATGGGTACAGTATTCTATAAAAAATACGAAAATTATTTATAAAGCTGTTTATATTAAATTAAAGTCTTAGAAATTACATAAGCTAATTAAACACATTTTCATAATTGAAAATTTAGAACAAACGATTATCTTCAAAATCATGAAGATGCTAAAAAATACATGAGTTAGCGTAAGTTACATGCTATAAAGCAGAATGTGCAAAGCAGTTTATTCAAAATTAATTATTTCGGCTAGATTTGCCGTTGCATTGTTAACAACAATTTAGAAAATACACCGAAGTGCCCTTGAATAAAAGATAGTTAAGGCTGTATTTTGAAGGTTCTGTCGTTATATGAAATTATGCCTTTTATGATATGCTATTTTTATAACTGCTGTGAGTTTGCTACTGTTACTCATAACTGTTAGGTCAAGTTAGTTATCTAAAGAAGGCGCTGTCTATGCTTATTCTGAAAATGTCGCAAAAGGTCACTATGGAGAAAAGCCGCAGCTGTGTGATAAATGAAAAGCGTTTGAAATCTAGTCTTCTAATATTTACCAACTTATGCTACAGTACTTGGGCTCATAAAAATTTGCAAAAAATTGAGAATCAGGCAGTGATTTTGATAACATTCATCTGGGTGCAAAAATGTCGCCGAATCGGTGATTTTTAAAAAAGTTTAAGAACTTTTAAAATATTTAAGTTATTTGTCTGTTCTAAAACCCAGATAATTCTTTATATCAAGTTTATAATAATAGTTTATAATCATCGCATTGCTTCAAGGGTTAGGCACTTAAACTACGACTTTTTTAATTTTCTTTGGCGACAGAACTTCGAAAAACAGCGTTAATGAATTGGATCTGAGGTTTCCAAAGCCTGCAAGGTAAAGTAAGCTTTGCATTTGTCTACGTGAATCATGAAAACTTACAGCAACTGAAAAAGAAGCACTGGGTGAAAAAGTATGCAAAGAAGCACAGGAATAAATTGATTATAAGAAAATTATAGATAAACAGAATAATTCTGGGTTTTAGAACAGAAAATTACCTCATTAATTATAAGAAAAAATTAGTGTCCGATTCCTTCCGAGAAGTTGAACCCGAATTTAATGTAATCAAATAATTATTCGAGAGGAGTTCGATAATTTTTTTAATAATTACATGAGTTAGAGTACGATAAGGCAAAATGTGGTTAATGAAGAAATTTCAATCTGAATTACTTAAATACATTTGTCATTCTATTATTAACAACAATTTAGAAAATACACCGAAGTGTCCTTGTATTAGGAATAGCAAGTTAATGAATAGGATCTATGGTTCGCAGAGCCCACAAGGTAAAATGAGCTTTGCATTGGTCTACGTGAATAACGGAAAATTACAGCACCTGAATAAAAGCACCGGGAGAAAAAGACAGCAAAAAAGCACCGGAATAAATAGGCCCCTCATCAATTATAAGGAAAAATTAGTATCCTATTCCAACTGAACCCTAATTTAATGTAATTAAATAATTATTCGAAAGAAGTTAGACATTTTTCAAAATAATTAACAGGAAGTTGTAATAATTAATATTAATTAATAATTAGAAGTTGACTGGAAGTAACTTTTGATAAATTATTTATTTTAGAATGATCTACGGGGCTTGATTTTTGGTAATCTAAATGTTTGGTAAACAAAAATTATAGAGTTTTTCAATTGAATACAATTTTTAAAAAATAACTAGTTAGTAAAAATAGTTTTAAAAAAAACAGCCTTATATCACCAAATATACAGAGAAATTCTGTAAAATGTACGGATGCACAAAAGATGAAGGGGGAAAAACAAGCAAGCAGACAAACTGTGATAGACAAAAGGGTTTTGTTTGAGAAATTCAGTTGAAATTTTGTTTGAAATAACGATTATACCTTGTCTCCATTTCTTATTCAAAAGCTTTCAACAAGTAAAATCTGCAATACATAACATTCTTTTAAACTGTCGTGCTCTTTGGTAGATCTTGGCCTTTTAGCATCTTTCAGGATCATCAAAATTGTTTATGCGTTTGCTGCCGACTGTTTTTTACCAATTACCAACCTCCCCTCTCCAGAAAAAGCACGACTACCCTTTAATAACTTAATATTTTGAAAACTTCAAAATTGGAAATCTTTTGAAAACAAATTGATAACCTACAAAACAGAATGAACACGACTTTCCCTTAGTAACTTAATATTTTGAAATCTGCAAAATTAGAAAACTTGTCAAAACAAATTGATAACCTACAAAACGGAAAAAACTTTACTTCCCCTTAGTAATTTAATATTCTGAAATCTGCAAAATTAGAAGACTTTTCAAAACAAATTGATAACCTACAAAACAGAATAAATACGGCTTCCCCATTGTAACTTAATATTTTGAAATCTACAGAATTAGAAGACTTGTCAAAACAAATTGATAACCTACAAAACAGAAAGACTCCGACTTACCCTTAGTAACTTAATATTTTGAAATCTTCAAAATTAGAAGACTTGTCAAAACAAATTGATAATCCACAAAACAGAACGAACACGACTTCCCCTTAGTAACTTAATATTTTGAAATCTCCAAAATTAGAAGATTTGTCAACAAAAAAAAATTGACAACCTAAAAACCACAATGAACACGACTTCCCCTGAGTAACTTAATATTTTGTAATCTACAAAATTAGAAGACTTGTCAAAACAAATTGATAATCCACAAAACAGAACGAACACGACTTCCCCTTAGTAACTTAATATTTTGAAATCTGCAAAATTAGAAGATTTGTCAACAAAAAAAATTGACAACCTGCAAAACACAATGAACACGACTTCCCCTGAGCAACTTAATATTTTGTAATCTGCAAAATTAGAAGACTTGACAAAACAAATTGATAACCCAAAAAACAGAATGAACACGACTTCCCCTTAGTAACTTAATATTTTGAAATCTGCAAAATTAGAAGATTTGTCAACAAAAAAAATTGACAACCTACAAAACACAATGAACACGACTTCCCCTGAGTAACTTAATATTTTAAAATCTTCAAAATTAGAAGACTTGTCAAAACAAATTGATAATCCACAAAACAGAACGAGCACGACTTCCCCTTAGTAACTTAATATTTTGAAATCTGCAAAATTAGAAGAATTGTCAACAAAAAAAATTGACAACCTACAAAACACAATGAACACGACTTCCCCTGAGTAACTTAATATTTTGTAATCTGCAAAATTAGAAGACTTGTCAAAACAAATTGATAACCTAAAAAACAGAATGAACACGACTTCCCCTGAGTAACTTAAGATTTTGAAATCGGCGAAATTAAATGACTTGTCAAAATAAATTGATAGCCTACGAAACAGAATGAATGAAGGAAGATGTGCCAAAAATAAAAACTTTTTTAATTTCAAAAATGTTGCTTAGAATCTTTTTTTAATTTATTTCTCGAATGCTCAATCTGATACTAAGTCTTAACCTAACTTCACTAAAATGTAAAATTTATGTAACTTTCAACGAAACCGTAATTTACAACTTTAAAAAATAAATAAATAAAAGTGTTATTTTGAGTAAAATCGTACATCACAGTTTTATGTAAAAATTATCATTGAAACGCTACAGAAATGAGTATGTAAGAGATACGTCTAATACTATTCTCTGTTGCAAGCTTAGAAAAAACCATAATCCCTAAGGAGAGAGCCTGTTTGCGTCTAAGTGTATACCAAATGAATGCCATGCTCCTAGCGCGGACGTATAACAGCAAAACCAACTCTTGAAATAACGTTGAACAGCCTTCTTTTAGCTTAAATCGTGTGAAGTGAGGAAAACAAAACTTAATGAATAATCAATTAACAAGTAATAAAAGTCATATCGTAACAAATATACATCTTCCTATTCGCATTTAAAGAAACTGAAGAAAGAATAATAAAAACATGTTTCTTGCAGACGACTTTCGTCTACCGTGAAACAAAAGTAAAAGTTCCTTATCTCACATTTGATTTGTTAAAGGTGTGTCAGGATAAGACGCACCATTTATAGTGGTCCAATCAAATCCAATGCTCTTATTGCAACGTCATACTGTTGTTTCTTTTTCCACGACGAATGTTTTCCATATTTATCGAAATGTGTCGCCAAGTCAAGGATTCCAGTAAAACTTCGAAACTATAACCTTTTTTTTAATAATTCTGTGATATATATCGTAAACGATAGAACCAATTAAATGTCTTTAAGACGTGTTTAACTTTTAAAAGCTTTTAAATTGTTTTGAAAGCAGATTTATATAATTTGATAATGAAATAGAACAGAATTATATGTAGTCGCGAATGATTAACTAAGTACCGGGTATAAGCCGGAGTATAATTGCTATGCATTTATGGCATCATATCTTATCATGCTACTTATTAAGTTGTTAGAGGCGACTCTTAAATAAAACTTTCATCCGTTTGACCGCTCGAATTCCTGGCACCCTAATATGCTGTCTAAATAAAAACTTTCTACGTTTAAAGTTGATTGTTTCGCACGAATTTTTTTTCACCCCGAAAACATTCTACGTTTAAACTTTAATATCTTCATTCTGGGAAATTTAAAGGCTTAGCAAGATAAATTAATGACCTATAGCTATGACAAAAATAAAATAAAAAATCTTTATTATTCTATTATGAAGATCCTTTATTATTATTAAAATCCTTTATTATTCTATTAAGATCCTTTATTATTAAGATCCTTTATAATTATTAAAATCCTTTATTATTCTATTAAGATCCTTTATTATTATTNAAAAAGGGCCGTAAGGCCTCAGACGCCCAGTTCCACTACAACGAACGAACGATATACCCCCGACATAACAGAAATTTACTATCCAGCTGTTAAAAAGAGGGATCGACTTATATATACCGGGATATACGGTATGCTGGTATCAATTTTTCTAAATAATTTCTGTGATCCTTTATTAATTTGAAGATCCTTTATTATTATTAAGATCCTTTATTAATATTAAGATCCTTTATTATTATTAAGATCCTTTACTATTATTAGGATCCTTTATTATTATTAAGATCCTTTATTATTATTAAGATCCTTTATTATTATTGAGATCCTTTATTATTATTAACATCCTTTATTAATATTAAGATCCTTTATTAATATTAAGATCCTTCATTATTATTAAGATCCTTTGTTATTATTAAGATCCTTTAACATACTCTTCAATTCGGAGACTCAGTTATGATATTGAGTCTTTGTTGTGCTGAATTTCTCCCAAACTTCAAACATTGTTTTCGGAACACGAAACCCGTCATTTAATGGGTTGATTTAAAATTTTCTTCTTCGGCAGCTGGCAGTTGCTGGGGAGATAATAGATACAAATTTTTAGTAGTTCTATAAAAATCACTACTTACTCTAAATATTTCTGAAATCAACTTAACTGTTTTCACACCAATTGCACGTAGATGCTTCAGTCTATATTGAGCATTAAATATGAAATGAACTCCACAAACTTGAGTCGCTGGGTCTTCTGCAATAGCTAGTGTCACACCGGTGAAGCCCATCATAGCTAAGTCAGTTGAAATTTCGTCAGGATCCCATTTGGCTGTAATATAAGAGAATGTAAAAATGTATCAATGAGAAAAAGAAAACAAATATGTTTTACAGTGTCACAAAAAAAAATTTCAGAAAACATTAACAACAAAGCTATAAAAATAACTGCTCTTTTTTTCAGCATTAATGCTTTTTTTCAAGAAGAAGTAAACAAAAGAGAACGAATCCTAAAAGTAGTGACTTTCTAGGGAAATCCGGAGGCCTTGATTCCCAAATGACACCAATTTTCGTAATTAATACAATGATTTTATAACCCTCGACGAACAGAGGATCTAATGTTTGAGTTTACGTCTACTAATGTTCAACTCCGGCCTTGAATGTTACTCCAGCCTTGAAATTTTTGAACACAAACCAGAAAACAAAGGAATTACTAGATCAAGTATAGGAAGAAATTTGTCTTCATGGAGGACTTTTTGATGGAACTAACCAGCATTTGCGTTACATGGAGAGGGAAAGCGAGAAAACCTCCCATGGTTAGCCAGACGGCAAGGGAACTCTAACCCATGATCGGTTCACCACTGAGGATATTTTACGCCAACACTGTGGTCGGTGCGAGCCGGGTACGGAATTCGTATCAATTAAGCATAGCTGGTATTCAAACCCGGTTCACCTTATTGGAAGGTGAACGCTCCATCCCCTGAACCACCGTCGTTCTTATTACAATGATTAAAAATAATGCATCTGCTCCATTTGAATAGATCATGGCTTTGCTGTGCTGATTCAGATTCTTAAATTTTTGACAACAAATGGAAGGCCAAGCCTTTCTCTCTATATTAAAAAATTGCTAGCGACGCTGTCGCCCTCACAGACATTTTAAGTGTTCAACTTTTCGTTAAAATTCGTTTTTCTGCGTAAAAACTATAGGACTATAATTTGATATAATGAAGGTATGTAGATAAATATAGATGAAATACGATGAAGAAAAATAAAAATTGATAGTTGCTGAGGAACTGTTAAACTAAAAGTTAAATTCATCTGTTAAACTTTTAGTGAAAAACACCATGCGGTCCGCTTTGCAGATCACTGAATTGCAACTACATAGTTAAATTTTGACGTGCTGAAAGGGCTATTTTGTAGAGTCGAGTNTTTTTTTCTTTTGTTTTTTTTTTTTTTTTTTGTAAAAATTCCCCCAATTTGTTCGAATGTTATTGCAATTTTAAGTGTTTTTTTTATTTTGCATGATTTTTAAGTTACATACTGTGCATAAACTATACAACTTAGAAATTTTAAATTATGAAGAGTACGATGGGATAAAAAAAAAAGATTTATTAACTGTTGAACGTAAAGTAAAAAATACGACGTAGAGCTTTTTACAGACCATGGAATTGCGATTTACCGTAATTTTTTTACGACATTCTAACTAGTTCTAGACTTCAACTTAATTTTTTATGCTTTTTAACTAAATATTATGTTAAATTCACTTACTTTAAGCTTAATTATTAGGACTTTTCAATTTTACTTGTTTTGCTCTAAGAAAGAACTGTTTTCCTTTTTTTGCAAAACATTTATTTAGCTTTTCTAAAATGTTAATTTATAAGGTGGAGCTGGAAATATGTCGTAGGTAACAAACAGGAGAGAGTACTAGATTAAATGTTACCAAGTGTAGTTTGAAACTTTTAATGTAAGAAATTTAAGTCAAATAAATTAAAATACCGTTTTCTATTTGAACTGCTCGATTTCAGAACTGTGTCGTATTTATTAATGCTAGCAGAATCGTCATACGGATCCCACTCAGCAATGGATTCTACTGCATGCTCATCTTAATTATTACCTAATTTTTTTCTTTTTTTTTTTAATTTTAGCAATTTTTTAAAATGGAATTTCTCGAATTTTCTCGAATTATACCCATGGGGGAAAGCGAGACAGAAAAGAGGAAAGACTAGTAGTAAAACCATTACTGTTATAGCTAGTTTTCGGGAGGAGTTTACTTAAAACTATTTAACAATATCTACTTTATCTTGAAAAAGAAGCACTTTTATATACATGAAAAAATTATAGAAGAAATCTTAAAAGTAATTTTAATTTTCTCATAGAAAATGCTAGAATGAAATGTCTTTCCTACCAGTTTTTTCTCTCTTCCATCTTGCTATAAAGGGCTTTCAGCAAATATTATACCCCTAATAAAAAGGGCCGTAAGGCCTCAGACGCCCAGTTCCACTACAACGAACGAACGATATACCCCCGACATAACAGAAATTTACTATCCAGCTATTAAAAAGAGGGATCGACTTGTATATACCGGGATATACGGTATGCTGGTATCAATTTTTCTAAATAATTTCTGTGATGTTTAAAAAAATTTTTCTCTTCAAATTTTAGGAAAAAAATGGCAAAACCAAAATGTACGAAAAGAAAGCAATCAAATGTTCAAATACAAACGAGAAGGGAACAGAAAAAACTTAGTATGAGACAAGCTAGACAGAAATTAAAAGAAAACCCTATATTGTTTGAAGAAAGTAAAAAAAAATTGAGAGCAAGAAATCTTAAAATCTATATCAGAAAAAGATTTAACAGAAAAATCGTGACTAAATGTACTTAAATTTCTAGAAATTGATAGAGCAAGCCGTTTGGGCCCAGGGAAAAAAGAAACAAGAAGAAAAGAGAAAAAACAAAAACGCTATTTGGATGACAGTATGTTCAGCTTGCATAAAATGTTCATAAAAGAGTACGCTCAACTTTCATGTGGAGTCTGAATTTTTATTTCAATAGTCTATACATTTTAATTTATCAATATTCAGTAAGAGTTACTTAAAAAAGTGTACACCTAGGTTAAAATGGATGTTTCCTTTCATAGCAGCATGATTAATCGGAAGTAGCTCTATCTCTAATAATGAAATATTTTATTATTTACTTATTAATGTTAAACTCATATCAGTTGTACCGAATAATTAATGAATTAGTCTTCATTGATATTTTATATTTTATAACATAAAATGTCTGCTCCGTTGACTATTACATCTCCTCCGTGGACAAGGCAGAATTTAAAATATTTTAAATAAAATAGAAAACTTGACCATTATTATAAGGACATATAACAAAAATAAATAAAAGTATTTATGTAATTTTTGTCACTTTTTAATTACTTTAATTTAAGAAAAATTTTTAGTCTATTTATACCTTTTCAGTGAGAATGACCCATAAATGATTTACGCATTATTTTAGGGAATTTAAATTAAAATAATATTAAGTTTGATATTTTGACAATAAGAAATTATTTATTATATACAAGTTTCTTATTAGCGAAATCTCTAAAAGCCCTGATACTTTGACAGTTCTGTGACATTGATCAAGGTTCGTGACACAAAGAAAATGGAAGTTAAGAATTGAAAAAATTCAATTGGTTTAAAAACCGGAGAATAGAGTTATCTCCAATTTTCTCTTCTTATGTGAATAAACTAATATAGCGTCAAATGATGTATTTTAATAATGAACCTTTATGTGAATAAAGTAAAGCAAGGGGAATAATTCACTAGTAAAGGTGCAAAATGAACATACTGCAGCTTTGCTTCTGCAGTATATCAATCAGAACCTTTCATTAGTGTATGAAATCAAAACCATAGTTCAAAATATCGCCCTTATCCAGACGTTAAAAAAATACTGCCTATTGAAAAATTGTTAAGGGTCCCCTTCAAACAGAGGAGCGATTTTATTTCCATTATTTTCAACCACAGTGAAAACATTTTAATAATTATTGAAATTGTATTTAATAATTATTGAATTGAAATGTCTTCTATATGAAATTCAGTTACCAAATTTTAAATTTTAAGGTTTTGAGTATTTTTAAAATTTGAACTTTNGGCCCCTACCCCATTCATCATGAAAATTATATACAGTGAATAAAACATTTTGAATTATGTAACAATGTGGTAACATTATAATAAAGTAACCATGATTAGAAGTATGTACAAACTTGATCGGAGATTTACATTAATTGCCATTGAAAAATGAATACAGCCATGATTAGATAGATATACATGAAATACGAGCTTAAACTGTGATATTTACATTAATTGCAGTAGAAATTTGAAATTGAGCATTGAGAATTGATGATAGCATATATACACAAAATCGTGATTCAAAATCACGAAATACATGCTTAATCTGTGATATTTACATTAATTACCACGAAAAGACTGAACCAAAGTTTCTTATATATAGTAAAATTCCAAGCGTAACAGAAGGGTATCCACTCTAGGTATTTTATCCTAAGAAATGTATTAAATATATGTGAAAACAAAAAAATGTGCAATAATATGCTACTTTAAGGTGCAATGTTTAATTTAATTGCATAAAGGAGACTCCTCGCAATAATGAGACACCTTGCAATAAAGGAGTCTCATAATTCAATTGCCAGGTAATTAAAAGCGTCCGTAACAGAGAGGACAAAGAAAATCCCACATTTTTGACATGCATTGTTATTTCCGCTATATTCTGTGATTTGGAACATCCCAAACATTATTTGCAATTTTTTTTTAATTATCACATTTCAAGGTAAAATAAATTATTATAAGACTTTTTAAATTGCTTACACATTTTTATTAACTTCAAAAAATGCAATGTAACAGAGGGGACATTTTGAAAATTTGACAAATAGTTACAGGGAAATATCATGTCATTTAATTAAACATTGCACCTTAAAATAACATATTATTGCACAATTTTTTGTCTTCACATATATTTAATACATTTTTTATAATAAAATACCTGTTTAATTTCCCCTCTGTTACGCTTGGAATTCTACTACTGGTTTCAGTTGGCATGGAATTCAACTATAGGTTTTATTTATTTATGCATATTGCTAGGCTAAATACCTTTAAATAAGACTTACTGAACTGAAAGCTTAAAGTTATAACATTAACTATGCTACCACTAAAAAAAATTGCCCAAAAAAGGATGAGGTTTTTTTTTCCATTATAACCGGTTTTTAACCTCCAATCCAATTCTGAGTTCACGACTATCAATGAACCTGGTAATTTTGAACCCAACCCAGAAGACAGTGGAATTCCTGTATCAAGCATTGGGGCAAACTATAGCCTTCGTGGAGGGCTTATTTTATTAACTGTCCCGGATTTGAGTTACATGGAATGGAAAAGAAACCGCCGAAACTGCCCACTGTTAGCTCAATGGTAGAGAGATTCTAACCCATGATCCCTTTTTCCAGCCATGGCAGGGATTCGAGTCTGGGGAATCACAATGGAAGGCGAACTCTCTATTCCCGAAACTACGACGGTTCAGGTATTTAAGGTCTCTCCTCTAAACGTGTAGGACATCAAAAAAAGTATAAATAACAATAAGGCTCATACTCACCGGCGTTCAAAAAATAGACTATGCCCCCATCCTTGTGCCTATAGGGATAAGCCCCTCCACAATCACTCTCCGACAAAATATTTAATTCCTCAGGATCTTGATCCCTTTTATAAACATCAGGATAATTCTTGAGCATTGTGTAGAAATTGCGTACAAGTTCCATCGCCCTATCTGTATCGAATTTTCTTGCTCGTAGAAATTGCAACAAGTAAGAGTCATCAGTCCAAATATCCAGATTTCTTTCCTCTGCAATGCAATTGTCAAGATTTAATCAAATTCAACAGGCCAAGATGTAAGCAAGTCAGCAGAATCAAGTCAAAATCATTACAGTGGGAAAAGTTATTTCTGAGATATACGTATTAACACGCTGAATGACTTGCTCGTCTGGCCGCACGGTAAATAACTATAAACTAAAATTGCAAATATAGACAGAGTTTGCTAGTTTATAAAAGGTTTAGCTTGACTTAATCTGAAAAAAGTGGTGAATTTTATATGCCTACGAATTGTTTAAAAATAGTGGTGAATAAAAATCCACTGAATTGAATTTATTAAACCAAGAATCACAACAATTAAGTGAATTTTGAATAAATTTTCTGCAATTCCATAAAAGAGTGTAAATTTTATAGTTCTATATCATGTTATACGCTGTCAGCCAGCTGTTTTTCGCGGCCTATGTGAAAGGTCAGTGTCAGCAAACGGTGGCAGAAGCCAGGGCTAAAGAGAATAGAAGGGCTGGTTCACTCCTTTGAAGAAACTCTCGNGATAATTCTTGAGCATTGTGTAGAAATTGCGTACAAGTTCCATCGCCCTATCTGTATCGAATTTTCTTGCTCGTAGAAATTGCAACAAGTAAGAGTCATCAGTCCAAATATCCAGATTTCTTTCCTCTGCAATGCAATTGTCAAGATTTAATCAAATTCAACAGGCCAAGATGTAAGCAAGTCAGCAGAATCAAGTCAAAATCATTACAGTGGGAAAAGTTATTTCTGAGATATACGTATTAACACGTTGAATGCCACGCTAATTTTACATGACTTGCTCGTCTGGCCGCACGGTAAATAACTACAAACTAAAATTGCAAATATAGACAGAGTTTGCTAGTTTATAAAAGGCTTAGCTTGACTTAATCTGGAAAAAGTGGTGAATTTTATATGTCTACGAATTGTTTAAAAATAGTGGTGAATAAAAATCCACTGAATTGAATTTATTAAACCAAGAATCACAACAATTAAGTAAATTTTGAATAAATTTTCTGCAATTCCATAAAATAGTGTAAATTTTATAGTTCTATATCATGTTATACGCTGTCAGCCAGCTGTTTTTCGCGGCCTGTGTGAAAGGTCAGTGTCAGCAAACGGTGGCAGAAGCTGCCTAAATGAAATTTCAGTGTCAGCCACCGGTGGTTGACATGACCGAAATGTAATTTCAGTGTCAACCACCGATGGCTGAAGCGGCGCTCAACGTGTTAACCTTTTCGGCAGGGGCAAGTCATAATTGTATTCGTACGGAATAAGAAATAGGAGAGTAAAAAATAAAAAGCGGTAGCTTAAATTTGGGCCCAGCTAATTTGACAGACTTATTTTTGCCGTCACTTTAAATCTGACACATCCAATCCTTATGTGTAAAAAGTGTAACTATACAAATTATAATTCGAACTAAGTAGTGGTGAATTAAATAAAGCAAACTACTATTACCCATCCCCAAAATAAAAAGCTATAAAATTAGTTTGGCTACCAGTTTTATCTTTTTTACCCTGATTATCGACTCCCTGACAAATCATATATGACTCGCTCGTCTCGAAGACGTAAAGGGTTGCAAACTGTCGACACTGAAAATTTCTTCTTGTAGTAGAAAAATTGTATGTTTTAATGCATAAATCAGCGTTTCTCAACCTTTCAGTATTCACGGCCCAGTTTTCAATCATAATTTTCATCGCGCCCCCCACTTGCAGTAAAATGTATGCAACAATAATGTATATTGAGTATTTTCAATTCCGTCTTTAAATTATTTTTAACTAACTATCAAAACAAAAGTAAAGTAAAAATCAGCAGCAATTGAGATTGTAGAAACTATGTTTGGAGTTAATTTTTCAAAATAATTACAGTCTATACCTCTTTCAAATGATACTGTTGCTCGTCGAATTGGTGATACAGCTGAAAATGTAGTGTCAGCTTTTCTAGATGTTGCGTGACAAAATTTTTTCAATAAACTTTGAAGCAAGAGATATTAATAAAGATGCTCATTTTATTGCCTATGTTTGATTTTGTGATAATATGTCAGTAGTAGAACTACTTTTCTGCAAATCAATAGAACTCAAAACAACAGCGCTAGCATTATTTGCTATTTTAAATGATGTTATAAATGATGCAAACACAGAATGCAAAAATTGCATCGGAATATGCACTGGAATATGCATTGGAATATGCTTGCTTAATATCCGGAAGGTTCGAAAGTATACAAGCACTAGTAAAACAAAAATCGCCTCAATGCGTCTGGACACATTGCATGATCCACAGAGAAGCTTTGGGTTCGAAAGAAATACGTCCTGGTTTAAATATTGTATTAACTGCGGTTGTAACCATTTCAAATTATATAAAAATGAGAACCCTGAGACCGAGAATCTTTTCTGCTCTTTGTAATGACATGGGTTCAGTACATTCAGAGTTACTATTTAAATGTGAGGCAAGATGTTTATCACATGAGAAATTTTTGCAACGTGCTCATGAATTAAGAGAAGAAATCGTCATTTTCTTAGAAGATAACAGACCGGAAACCGGGAATTTACACTATAGTTTATTTGTGATGAAATTGAGATACTTGGTCGTCATATTCGAGAAATTAAATAACTTGAATCTTAAACTCCAAGGAGCAAATACACATATGTTGGATACGAGTGATGAAGATAATGCTTTTTGTAGAAAATTAGAATTGTGGGGCAGAAATTTAAAGCAAAAAAACCTAACAATGTTTGCAAATGTGGATAATTGTACAAAAATTTATAAGGCTGAAGAATATATGAAAGTTACGTTTGTAACCATTGAAAATCATTTAGCCATTCTGGCAAAGAATTTTGAAAAATATTTTCCTGCTCATGACAAACTGCTAACAAGTTACGAGTGGGTTAGGAATCCATTTCATAAGACTCCCGAAGGACTCTCAATTGATGAGGAAGAAAAATTCATAGACTTCACGACAAGTGGCGAAACTGAAATGCAATTTAGTAAGAAATCACTATTTGAATTTTGGCAGGAGGAGGATTTTTCTGCACTGAAACAAAGGGCATTTCGCATTCTATTACCGTTTTCAATATCCTACCTTTGTGAAACTGGATTTTCTGCTGTAGCTTCTTTGAAGACAAAATATAGATCACGACTAAATATAGAAACAGGACTGACAGTGGCTATCTCTAATATTAAGCCTCACCTCAAAAAACTTTGCTCTCAGGACAGGCCCAAGGAAGTCACTAAAAATTATTAATTTTTTTTAAAAATTTATTATGTTTGATTAAGTAAGGTGGGTAAGCCAAAGGTGGCCAGTGCTCCTAACGTAGCCCCCCCCCCCAAAGTAAAATGATATTTATTTTGAATCATAAGATGTCCCTTCTGCATTGTAAATCTTATACCTGAGGTGCACGAGGCTGAATTGGAAGATATTTCCTTGAATGGCATCCATTGTATGAAGTGATTTAATTATTTGCAGTTGTCGTTCTAATTTCCAGGTGAGAAGATAATGTGTTTAAATTCTTAGAACTTTGAGTTATAATATGTTTTCTGAAAGTTTATTTCTTTTTCTTTAACCACATTACTTTAATTCGAATTAATCTATCAGATTAATAGTTTTATGTCGTGCAAATGGTAAGAGAGACCTTATGTATGTTCCCAAGTGGCGCGACACTCGGGCCACCTTCGGAAGCAAACGTGAAATCTATAAAAGAGTTAATTATAAATCATTACGTAGCATATTATTTCTCAAAAAGGAATGCTTGAATTAAATTCCAATTGATTTATTTCATTTTAAGCAAATGTGGAACTTTGGTATTTTTTAAATTTTTATAATATTTTGACGTTCTCTGCACTTTAGTAGATTTGGCGATATTTTGTTTCAAGTGTTTTGTTTTGTTTGCATTTTAAAGTCATTTTTCATGTATTTTTTTTATTTTTGTGGTAGTTATGAGTGTTTTTGTGGTAGATTCTGGTATTTTCTTGCAAATTTGGGTATTTTTAGATTAGTTATGGGTTTAGTTAGTTAACTCTATGGTTATTTAACTTTTACTTGTTAGTTAATCCTTTTGAAAAAATTAACTCAGCAATTCTTGATTAATTCTAATGAGTGAACTCAAAAGAATCGCTAGTGACTTCACGCAAGAACTATCAAAGTAAAATCAATAAACAAATTACACAGTCTGAAAACAAATCTTTTTTAAAGTCGGGAAACTTGTTCCTACCAGCAAGACACTTAAAGTGCCTTTTTAAAAGAAGTTTGCCAGTCCAAGTGTTTTTTCTAAAGATAATTTGAGTAAGTGAAAAAGTGATTTCAAAACATGGCTCACCTTTGGAACCTGTGCGAAACCTTAGGTGCAGAAGCTAAAATTTTATTTTACAATTAAAAGTATACGTGATATATATTAGAGATAGGTGAAAGATGTTACAGAAAAAATTCAGATACACAGACTTAATCAGAAAATTATTTTAAAAAAATCCTTAAGGCCAAGCCACCCTTGGCTCCCCACCTTAAATTTTGATTTAATAAGTTGTTTCACTTTAAGTTATTAAGTATGTCAAAATGTATTTTGTTTTCTATGTATATGTGTGCTTTCCTTTCATCCAGTTAGTCAATTTTTTTAAATAATATTTTCTCTTGAATATTCTCGCGCCACCCCTCTGGTGTGCTCGCGCCCCCCTAGGGGGGCGCGCCCCACAGGTTGAGAATCGCTGGCATAAATGTCTTCATTTAGTATTAATTTAGTATCATATTTAGTATTTGATTTAAAGTTATTTTATTTACCACTGAATGTGAATAATTCAAAAATTAATTTTAAAAAAAGCCTCCTTGTTCCAGTTCTGTCAATGTGAAGCTTTCAAAATTTTCACAAAATTATCCAAAATTCTGAAAGCTTTAAATTTTGACTGTCTGTAACTCCATAAAATGGTTTGCAAATAACGAAGTTTTAGCCCTGCGTATTTAACCTCTTTTTGCCTAGTGTTCATCTAAAAAAATGATTCCATTTTTCAAAAAAGAAAAAAAGTTGCAGCCTAAGTAAATAAATTCTGTACAAAACCTTTACAAAAGTGAATCGGCACAAGCTTTCCTTGAGACAAAAACCTTTACAAAAGCTGCAGCTTAGGTTCAGGTAAAAAAGTATACCTACATAAAAGCTGCAGCTTTGATAAAGGTTTTTAACAATTATAAAAGTTGCAGGTTTTTTCTAGCTAATTTATCTTCACAACACTGTAGCTTTTGCAGTTTTTTTGCATTAGGAAAAGCTTGAGCCGATTCTCTTAAGCTGTTGTAAAGGGTTTTTTTTTTGCATTACACACAATTAATACAGTGTTTAATATACGTACCGAAATTTTAAAAACTCAGAAATATATTTAAAAATTTCCATGCAATGTTAATTAGACTAAATTATACTTAACATGAGAAAAATAATAATCTCTAAAGAATTTTATTTATATGGTATATTATAGGTCAGTGACATCTATTATTAATAAAAAATAAGATAATCACAAAAAAATTAATAAATAAGATAATCTCAAAAATATTAATTTTAAAAACAAATTTAGGCATAGTTATGCTATTTTTGAAAATTGTTAAAGATACTCTGAATTAACTGTTAAGTGCTCGTGTGACCCTGACACGTGAAAAGAATAAGAAAAAGAAACTATAATTAAATAATTTGAAATAAAATTTGATTTACTGAATGACAGCGAAAAAATTTATAACGATTTCTGCAGATGCCATTTGTGTGAGCTATATTTTCTTCCTTAAAATTTAAATACATTTTATAATAATAACTTAATTTTATAATTCAAATAGTCAGGAAATATTATTCTTTACAGGTTTATATACATAGTCTTGTAAAATTATTTGAAAATTCTGCTCTAATGCTTCAGAAAAACTCTTAAAGTTTAAGCAATTGAAACAAAAAACCAACTTTAAATTGGGTACATATTTAATTGTATCAGAAAAAGTTTAAAGAAATATAGATGTAAAGAAGTATTAAATATAGATATAAGTATATATAAAAGTAAAATATGAAAGAATTACAGGAAAAAATGAAGGTTTTGGAGAACTTGCATGAAATCCTGCATGGCACATGTAAAATCACTGTAGGCCAAGTAAAGGCAAAATAAGTGACTTTTTTAACGTTTTTGTGCAGAATTTTTCATTCAAGCAGTTTACCATTATAATTTATTTAGAAGAAACAATCTACCTTAATAAAATGATTTTATTTGGATTTGAAGTCGAAATATAACGATCTTTTGAATATAAAATGATAGAAAACAGAAAAAAATAAACTTGGTCTAATCTAGGGATGTATCCCGGTATTAAAATTTTGTCGGTGAAAATTAAATATCTAAGTATGTGATCTAAGAATCTAATCTATCTTCCTAAGAATGTGAATGCTCCTAAGAAATAAGTAATATTCTTCTTAAGAATGATTTTCATAATTGGAAGTATTAAATTCAAGATATGGAAAAAGGAGCCTTATGGAAAAAGAAGCATAAAATTTACGAACACTGCAGATGTAAAAATAAAATTTATAAAAAAAAATTTCGGATAAAAAAGGCAGATATGTTTTAGTCACACGACTGGCAAACTTGCCAGCTAATTATTAATTCTCTAACACGTTCACGCCGGGAAAAGTTAAAATACTGGTAGATGAACTATTTTAATATTAGATAATATTCGGGAGGAGTTAAACTATTCTCAACAATAACAGTTCACTGCAAGGAAATTCATCTTGAACTTAAACTAAGGTGTGATTCAGAGTGCCTGTCCGCGAAGCGGACAATTGACTCTTTCATCGAAGATTGTGCCCGTGGGCACCTGGAATATTGTCTATAAGGGTGTAGGTGTTCCACAGTGGGGCTGTGGATGTCTTGATGGGCGCGGCTTGGTGGGGTGAACTCCGCCTCAACGTCTTTTCTGTGAGCAGAGATCTAAGTAGATTCTGAAGATCTGGATCCTTGAGAAGCTGTTGCATTTCCTTGAATAACAGAAGGAACCTAGTTGCTTTGTCTGTGGTTTTGATGGCCTGGGCGGGTCTGAAGAAGCAATTCAATATAAAAATTGCATCCGTTAAAAACAATTGGTAGTTATGGATTTTTATTATTCCCGGAAAAAAACTAAAAAATGAAATTTATTGTTACAAGTTTTTACTCCGGTGCGCTGCCAAGATGAGACAATCTAGCGTGACCCACCAGTGGGTCACCCCGGCGTGAACGTATTAAATATCGTAGACATCAATTACTTTGGAGTTGGCAGCCCTGACTTTAATAAAAGTAATTTTTTGAGTTCAATGCAAGAGTCTGGTAAGTAAGATCTTCAACCTCTGCTACTACCTTCTCTGACGTTTCCTGACATGGAATTTCATCCGCATGATGCACCATTCTTATGCGTCCTATCGGGCCTAAAAATCAGTCGTAATATTTTTTGAGACACCCTTTTATCACGTTGAATGCCACACTAATTTTACATGGCTTGTCCGTCTGGCCAAACGGTAAATATATACAAACTAAATTTTCAAATTTGACATATTTTGCTGGTTTTTTAAAAGGTTTAGCACGACATATCTGAAAAAAAGTGGTGAATAATATAAGACTACGAATTGTTTAGAAATTGTGGTGGATAAAAATCTACTAAATTGAATTTATTAAACCAAGAATCACAATTGATAAACTACCACTAGAAAATATTTATTCGCTGTCCGGAGCAAGTTGGCATCTCTGTGTATATAAATAAAACTATTTTTGTGTGTTCTATATTGCATTAATTTCTTTAAACCATTTTAGTAACGATAATAATATAAAAATATTAAAAATTTACGAAGATTATGTGTTTCAAATAATCTTGGCTTCGCCGGTAACCGGTGACCCCCATGGCATTCAGCGTGTCAAAATGTACAAAATTCTTCATCATCTTACCAGCTATCAATCTCTTTAATTCTGCAAGAGCCTGTTCACGAATTTCTTCAGTTTCATTTAATTCTTCTTTTGCTTTTTCCACCATCCAATCTGTCAGGTAACCCATCCGGTAAGGCAAAAAGCCTTTAGCTGCCATCATACTGTCGTAGCTATTTTCCATAGTTGGTAGTTTTTACCTAATAATATAGTCAAAAGGTAAACACTTAGCAATTAAGGCATTTACTAGAATATGCCCAAACTTTATTTAACAATGTTTGGAACACTTATATGAGTAAGACGCATTATCTATTAAAATCTTGGTACATGAAGATTGGAAGAATTAACTTTAAGCGTGTTAATAAATACGTTTGGGCTATTTAATAATAAATAATGCACTCTGTGAATGCGTGATGAGTTTTTTTCTGACGTGCGCGCGATGTTTACGATGTCACCTGATCAGCCATCGCAACAGCATATTTCCAAAAACACGGAATCTATATTTATCCTAACAACTTCCTATTTTAGGAGGTAAAAATTTTTCCAAGCAATTTCAAGCAATTTTTTCCATATTAATTACCGGAAAAAACAAGTCATACGAGTAAAATCCACCACACCTAGTCAAATTAGTAATCAGCTGAGACTACTTAAAAAACACTTAGGAATTAATTTGGGCTCTAGCCAACTAATTTCGTAAAGACAGGTAAAAATATAGCTATTGTTCTAGTAAATAACATTTAACATCTTGAAGCAATTAATTTTTATATAAATATTGAAGAAGAATAAAATATTTAAAACATATTTTAAAGGGGACAGTGCTGACAGAGACAGAAGTGACAAAATCCAGAGAAAAAAAAGTTATGGTAATTTTTTTAAAAAATAAACTAGCTCTTAGAAGTATTATGAATTTAAAAATATAAATTAATCTAATCTATTAAAATAAAGCAATAAAGATAAAGGGGGTAATAACTCATTTTAATTTTAAATATATTTTTATGTGGAAATGTTTAGCTTTTAGCTAATAAAAATTGTTGAAAAAGGTTTTAAAAAAAAGCTTTCCGGACTTAAAACTCTTTTGAATTATAAAATCATTTAACAACAAAAATTTCGGGGAAAATCCTAAAAATGAATGCTGCATTTTTTTCTTGCTAAAAGAGCATAATTAGCACGATTATTTATTCAGCACAATTTATAAAGAAAATCTAAGTTACTTTTTACCAAAGCATTATCCAAGGAACGAAAGTAAACAAAGCTTCTTTCCTTCAATATAAAAAATTACATTTACATGCTTTTGTTAATATCAAAGCATTATCTGAGACCTTTGGAATACGCTATGGCATAACACTTTATGTCAACAATGCTTATCAATACATTGTCTGGCAATCAATATTGAATTTTTCTCAAACCGTTTTAATTTAAATAAATTTAATTTTTAATGCTTGAATGATCTAGTGAGGGGAAAGGAATAAAATACATAATGGCATAACACTTTTTCCCAACAAAGTTTGCCAATACACTGTCTTACAATCTATATTAAGACCGTTTTAATTTAATTTAATTTAATTTTTAATGCTTAAACTCACCAGTAA